AGAGACAGCTATGTTCTTGACAAGGTGCCATGTTGTAGTTTCAGTTTCGTGCAGGTGTTGGCAAACTACACTCCTAAATGAACTGGTTCCCTGGATGGTCGGCGATGTCCAATTTCCTACCTGGAGCCTGCTTTTGCGCTGTTCGCAGGGTTGTCTCCAAAGACTGTGTTCACATGGCCGCAGGCTGAGCTTAAATTCGAGCAAGTCTTGATGCCGGCTCTTCGTGGAACATGCTAAGCCAAAGGGATCTTGCAAAGATCCTTCTACGAGGCTATGGATTTACGTGTTTTCCGCCGACTCCAAACCTGCTAGTACCTGAAATGCAGCTGCATATACGAACAATGCATGTGCATGCATGTGCAGTGGCCATGCTGTCTGCAAGCTGCCTACGAAATCCTTGCAAACCAAGCTGCAGTTTCCGGTTGCTCGGTTGTCGTGGGTAACAGCCCGGCAGCCGACAGCACGTCTGCCACTGCTTTCCTCAAGCATGCCAAGGCTTCTCGCTAGTACAAGTAATTGCGTCTGTGCTTCTGTGTGCCAGAAGTGCTGCTTGGCGACTGGTTTTCCGGTGTCTCCTCGGAAGCCGCATCCACAACGGCGGCCTTGTCTTCAGGCGGGATGTCTGCACCTTCACCGCGATGCAATGAGCAGTGGATCAGGCTGCGCTGCAGTATGCTCTGGGCAAGTGGGTGCCTGCCAGGGCCTGACCCACCACGCTTGCGGGTGAAGCCGTCGTTGCGCCCTGCAGCCCTTGTAGGGCTGCTGGTACAGCGCTTTCCTCGATTGTCCGCAGCTTGAGCGGGTGTCTATTCAAGCTCAGCCAAAGTAGTGAGCTGAACGCACGCAATGTAGCGACGACGAGACCGCTGCCTCTTCCTATCTTCACTTCACTTCACAAGGGATGAGTCCGCGCGCGGACCCGGGCCAAGGCCCCCTTCGCATCTCTCTCTTGCTTGCACTCAGCCAAGGAGAGGCGCAACCCTCCCCCGCGCGTGTGCGCGCACTGGTCTCTGGTCTGACTGTGAGAACTGCCCCTGTCGGAAAGTTGCGCCGGCCTGATCCGTGTCTCTCTCTCTCTCTCTCTCTCTCTCTCTCTCTCAGGCGTAGGGGACGGTCAAGTCACCTGAAACTTCGAGCGCTCCTGCAACTCTGAGCGGGCCAAGGGCAGTGAAATACGAGTGTAGTCCACTATGTAGGCTGCTGCCATGAAGTATTCCATGACGAGCAATAGTGAATGCACACCTTCACGGACATATGTTTCCCGCAGCATGTCTTGGTGCTCAGTTGGATCTCTTCTTCCGCACAGCCAGAAGGGGTCGCGAGCTCCCCGCCCCCCCCCCCCCTGCGTTCCTTCCTTCTGCCGGGGCTAATCTGCGAACAGACTCAGACTCGAGCCCAGGCCCCCCCCTACCTTGTTGGTGGAAGGAGACCTTGGGGTCTGTGGTGGGAGGTTTTCCCCCGCGGATTTTGCAACATGTGGTGTCCGTGAACGCTAGCCTGCTTCCCGGCCTCATCGCCGCGCCCTCTAAGGCTACGTCCTTAGCCGTACCCCCATGTTCTTATTATCTCTCTCTATCTCTCTCTATCGTCGCTCTCTCACATGTTCTGGAAGTTGCAGTGCCAAGTCGTGTACATCCTCCTTCGATTCAGCGAAACCGTCTCGGCAACAGTAGAGGCCAGGGTGCAGGTGTGCAGGCTTGCTTTGTGCATCGCATGTGCATGAGCAGCGCCGATGGTGATCAAATAACCTGCTTGATCTAACTGAGACTGGTTGGCAGCTCCGTTGTTGTCTCTGCATTCATTCTTGCAGAAGGCGCTGGTCAAGCTCACATTGACTTCATAACAACACGCTACAAGTTCTGTCGGTGCTCGCTCGGGTGCCCTGCAATGGCCAAAACAGGCCGACCGACGTTCCCAAGGGAAGCAAACAAAGAGTCACAAAAAACAGAAGAGAGAAGGTCATGACTTTTCTAGGTCGGCTGCCTCTTGTGCTGACATACCTTGACGTCATGTGGCACTTTCTGGCGTTTCTCGAGTTAAGTCGGACAGAAACAGCTCGATTGATTAATCTTAATTGGGTCCACCTGTTAAGTTCTAAGCATGCCCTTGGCTTCGGCCACCAGCTACACAGGGCACGGTCTCTACTTTACTGCCCAGCCACTGCGGCGGCAGCCGCCTGCTGTTGAACAGTAAAGCCTGCATCTCCAGTCGCTGCCACAACGGCTGCCACTTTGGCTTCAGGTGAAGACGCAACGGATTTTGAAGCTGCTTTGGCAGAAGCCGTCGCTGCTGCCGTCCAAGCGTTGAGAATAGTGTCCCAGTGGTCGGGATGGACAGATCTGAAAGCAGAAGAGACGCTGGCAACCTGAGGGAGGGCTGCAGCTTCGAGATAGTATTGTCTTCATGTATACCTGTGACTAGCCGTGAACCTCCTCACCCCGAGCCCGAGCCCGCAAATGTGCGGACCGCGCCTGAGCATCAGTCAAGCCCATGGCCGCAGCGGCCTCTGCCACTTTGCTCAAAGAATCTGGCTGTGAGCCGGCTGGTGCCAATGCATCACTTGCGGCAGAAACAGCTGCAGCAGTTGCTGCAGTCGCAGCATTGTCCAAGCCGTTCGCTTTCGAGGCTCTCAGGACCGCCTGGGCCACCTTGCTTTGCGTATCCGGCATGTCCGCTCCGGCAGCGTCCAAACTAGTCGTACCCACAGGAGCTGGCATCGGCACAGACGGGTTCGCCGATTGTGGTACTTCGAAGGGCTTCGAGTTGCTGGAGGCAGGGGCTGCGGCCGCAGGCACTGCAGGCGCCGCAGGCGACGCTGCCACTGCTGCTTCCGGAAGAGTGCGGTTGCCGAGCAAGGCCATGGCCGACAACCTTCGAACTGTCGCTTGTGCCATTGTGGCGCTTCCCATGTCATTGCCCTTAAAAAACCCTTCGCGCTGATCTGAAAAAAAAAGGCCTTGAGACGATGAAGGGTCCGACCAAGATCGATCGCTCTTCTGGCGTTGCATAGCCCACCTCTCATGCTAGACATCAGATGAATCGTAGCAAATGTCGAAGGGCGGGCCTTCGTGTTCAGCATATACCAATCGCTCCCATCCATGGAGCCTTCAAGCTGGAAATCTACTGGATCGGTTCCGCGTGTCTCCTCGCATCGCACATCCAACCGCAAGCTTCCCTACTCTCCAGACAACCACATCGCCAGTCCTTTTCACCGGACGTCTTGAAGCCGAAGCCACCCACCATTACTCCCGGTCGAACTTTGACTACAACATACTGCCCCGACGAGAGCAGCAAACCTCGCTTGAAAAAAAACCGGGAACCACTCACATCCATCAGACAAAGCTTAAAGAACTGTACCAGGCACTGGTTGAGGTGTCGTCGTCCATGCACTTCAGCGGGTCATCCATGCTAGCCTTGTCGTCAGACATGTCCTCAATGCAGTTGTTGAACGTGTGTGCTGTCTCTGCTTTTTCAGATTGTGGTGTATTCCCGTGCGGCCGGGGCACACTCCCAATGGCTACTTCGGACACAATTCTAGGATCCTTCAAGGCCATCGCCTGCATTGCAGGGGACAGATATGCCCCACGTGTGCTCCGACTACATCCTTTGCTTCCACCTGCGCAGTGGCGTCTGCTAGCATCAACTCCGAGATACGGGAGCTTGTGGCACCTGAAGGAAAGAAATGCACCAGACGACGACGAGTGCGTGGTCGTGCTGACGGCAGCTGCCTTCTCGCGTCCTCAGAACCGAGAATCTGTACCTAGGCTGGGTCAAGCCGGATGGGGCGCAGCTTGGCTGGGGGAGCAGAAATGATGCATCTGCCGTCGCCACCCAGCGGCTGCTGAAAGGACAGGGGCACCTGACATGACGAAGCTGGCAGAACCGACTCCTTTGAGATTCCTTGTCTCTCATGCAGCCCAGATGCACTAGCAGACTTGTGGGTCTCCTGCAATCAAGTGGACAGGCGATCGGACCCTGTATGATTCCGCGAAAAGAAACCCGGCAACCGAAGTATGCAACGATACAACCACAGGTTCGCTTCACTGCCCAGATACCCACCTCAACAGAAACCATGATGCCAAGATGACTCACGATACATCACGACAGCACTAGCTACATCGACCCAGAGCTGACTTTGAAATAATGGCAACTCCGACATTCTTTCTCCGGAATCCAAACAACCCGAAGCAAAAGCGGTGTTCTCGAAGCCAAGGCTCTCTTCGAGCCTCTTTTCGTATCAACTCTCGACGAGCCGAAGGGCTCTGCTCAGACACCTTGCTTGGATCCGTGTTGCTTCCAGTCAAGTAAACGTCCTACGCGGCCAGTCCCGGCTCGAAACATTGAAAAAGGGCACCACTGCAACGACAGCTATGGGCTATGAATGAACCACTTAGTGCCTCCTGTTAACCCTTCTCGCCATCCCCGATCGGTTCGGAGCATACCGCGTGTTGCAGCTGCGGGCATCTGGAAACACCGGGATGCCGGCCTGTTGCCGCAGGAGCACGGTGTCACTGCCTGCATGTCAATGCTTTAGTTCATGTCGGCAGCCTCCGATTCTCAATTCTATCGAAACGCCTGCATGAACTCCCTGAAGCCAAAGCGAACCTGAGTGGTGGGGCCGGATGCTCGGACTGAGTCATGTGGCTCACAGATCTCAGATACAAAGCTTCCTGCTGACCAAAACCAGCGGCCAGCGATGCATCCGCCTCAGTTTGAGTGGATTGCTACATTCATTCCTTATTTGGCGATCCAGGACATGCTATGAATGCGATGCAGCTGAGCCGCGCCATGCTCCAAGCCGTGGAAAAAATATGTAGAACGCAACCAACAGATAAATCCGTCGGCAACGGTTGGCAAAGCGTTTAGGTTCTGAAGCTGTGCAGCTAGCGGCGGATGATCATTCATGCAGAAAGCTCATCGCAGCGTCATTGCGTGTCGCGCACTCAGACTCCCCATATCGCAAGTGTTGGGCCTGTTGCTGTTGCCGCTGAGTTCGCAGCCCGGCTCCACCAACTCGGCTAAAACTGCCCGCCTTATGCAACTCCCACTGCACAGCTCCGAGCGCGCAGGCCGATGCAGCTTCAAAGCAGTTCTTTTAACATGCGGCCCATGCATGCAGCAAGCCTCTGGACATCCGGCAGTCTTTGGCCAGGACAGTCAAAGTCAAGCAGGCATCTAAGTTCGCTTGCACAAACTGGTGACTTACCTTTCAGAATGCTGCGAATTCATGATGGCAGAGTTACTGCCCCTCCTCCTCAGCTTGGTGGTATGCCAGGTGCAGCTCCTGCAGCTTGAGTATTGAGGTGTAGGATCCGTTAAACATCTTCGATCCGTGTAGAACCCGCGACTTTCAAGGAAGCGGGCTTGTGCCAACCTCGTTGATGTACCAGGTCGTGATCGCACACCTGTCACCTTGGCAGAGGAGAAGTACAGACTCATCTTTAGTGCATCAACTAGGCAAAGACCTGAGCTGCTGGCGCCGGCTCCTTCGTACTTCATGGGGCACGGACGAATCGCTGAAGAAAGCAACCAAGCCTCTGCATGTCTATGCCACTTCTGCAGCTGTTTGCTCCAATCGGGCGGACCAGCAAACTCATTCACAGCTGGCAGATTTGCGACACGGCACGGTTCATTACTGGCGCCACATCCACTTTAATTTGCTTCTGATCCTCCTGGAACCTCATTTGTTCAACTCTGTGAATAAGAGAAACACTATCAAAGAGCGCAGAGTCCCATACAATCTGATCTCGCCACCATCGTGCTCCGCATCCCAGTCTTCATTCAAGTAGAAGGTGCATGTGAGCAGTCCTGACTTGCACAAACGAACAATCAAACAAGGCAGACCTTATTCAGCACACACTAGTGTAGCCATGAAGCTACCGTTGCAACCATCTTCGTTGTCCACATGCCGGATGTATCTGGCGTCATCCTTGATTGCTTCAGCAGATTTTCGGTGTACGAGTACTTGTCATGTCCAGATTGCTCGTCTCCACAAAGCCGCCCAGACGCATTTTCTGGGCTGCCAGGGAAGATCGCAAATTGCGCATCTGATAGGGCAGTGATGCCCTGCATCCGAGCCTGGATTTTGGCCTGCTCAGCATGACACGAGGGCCCTCTGAACTCTCGCAGGTACGAATTCGTTGGACGAACCTCGGGGATGTCCATCATCAGGCTGACCAAGGCATTTGTGTGCTCTACAAGCGGGCCTGAGATGTTGCAGAGCAACATGCCGAAAGAAGCACCCAACCGCATAATGCCTTCGAGAAACCAAGCTCTGGAACTTCAGAAGGCTGCAGCCACAGAACCCTTTGCTGCACAAGCTGATCGAACGTTCAAGCAACAGCTGCAAAAAGCACCCCTGTAGGGGCAGTGGCCGTGGCGGCGGTGGTGGCGGTGGTGGCCGTGGTGGCCGTGGTGGCGGTGGTGGTGGTGGTGGTGGTGGCGGTGGTGGCGATGCCGGCGGTGGCGGTGGCTGCCGGTGGCTGGCGGTGGCGGCGGCGGCGTGGCGGTGGCGGCGGCGGCGTGGCGGTGGCGGTGGCGATGGCTGTGGTGGTGGCGGTGGCAGTGGTGGCAGTGGTGGCAGTGGTGGCAGTGGTGGCAGTGGTGGCGGTGGTGGTGGTGGTGGTGGTGGTGGTGGTGGTGATGGTGGTGGTGGTGGTGGTGGCGGTACTGCAAGTGGTAGTGGTATAGTCAGTGGTAGTGGCAATAGTGGAGCGGCAGCGACAGTGCTTGTGGTCGTCGCCATGCGCGAAGTAGCTAGTGGCACTAACAGGTGCAGGGGTAGTGCTATTGGTAGTGACAATGGTCGCCGTCGTCGCAGCAGTAGTTGCAGCAGTAGTAGAGGAATTATGGATAGCAGAAGCAGCCGTAGCCATAGTCGTAGTCGTAGCCGTCGTGGTCGTCGTAACACCCAAACTGATCAAGCCAGGCCCTAGGCCAAAGAAACAGCAAAAAGAAACCGAACAGGCCAAACGAGGCCTAAGCACAACAGCTAGCAACAGCCCCATAGCTGGCAGTTTTGCCCCGCAGCAATCTCAAGACTTGCTTCACGGCGGTCCGTGGAGCGCAAAACTGCACCTGCGCGCCGGTCCGAGGACTCAGCACTGCACGCGCAGTTCTTCGCAAAACAGAACTTTAGAGGTATCACTCACAGAACTTGCGGACTTTGTTCGGCTGCTGTGCTTGTACAACCGAAAGGCTAAACACCCAAGGCAAATATGAAAGTACAGCAGACCTCCCATCAAGAACTTAATCTACGCACGGGGGCCACCGCTGCCAAAGAGGGCAATCTTTCCAAGCAGAAGCAGCAGCAGCAGCAGCAGCAGCAGCCGCAGCAGCCGCAGCAGCAGCCGGAGCAGCAGCCGCAGCAGCCGCAGCAGCAGCCGCAGCCGCAGCCGCAGCCGCAGCCGCAGCCGCAGCCGCCAGCAGCCGCAGCAGCCGCAGCAGCAGCCGCAGCAGCCGCAGCAGCAGCGCAGCAGCGCAGCAGCAGCAGCAGCCGCAGCAGCAGCCGCAGCAGCAGCAGCCGGAGCAGCAGCCGCAGCAGCCCGCAGCAGCAGCCGCAGCCGCAGCCGCAGCCGCAGCCGCAGCCCGCAGCCGCAGCCGCCAGCAGCCGCAGCAGCCGCAGCAGCAGCCGCAGCAGCCGCAGCAGCAGCCGCAGCAGCCGCAGCAGCCGCAGCAGCAGCAGCAGCCGCAGCAGCAGCAGCAGCAGCCGCAGCAGCCGCAGCAGCAGCAGCAGCAGCAGCAGCCGCAGCAGCAGCAGCAGCAGCAGCAGCCAACAAAAAACTCTGTTGTGTACCTCACCAGTCTATGCTTTATAGAAAAGGGAACCTAACACATCAGCACTGTGGCATGGCCTCACCCGACGGACTGGAGTACTAGGCCTGAGAATTGCCTCACCCGACGACCGGGACTACAAGGCAGTTGACCAGCTTGGCAAGTAGACAGCATGTCCGGCCTTACCCGACGTACGGAACTACTGGGTCTTGCAGAGAACCTCACGTGACGGACTTGTAGCTACGATTGGGAGCCCATGTAATCCAGAGCGTACAGTCGCAGATCGTGCAGGTTCGGCCTGGATGCCGTACAGTCACAATCCGGCAACACAGGAGCTAATATCTAATTTTCGTAAGGTGGTAGTCGTAGTAGTAGTAGTAGTAGTAGTAGTAGTAGTAGTAGCAGCAGTAGTAGCAGCAGCAGCAGCAATACTAGTAGCAGCACTAGTACTAGTACTAATACTAGTACTAGAACTTAGCCCCACACAGGGAGTGTCGTCAAGGATGGGTGATATTACTTTGTGGCGACCGCCGGCTTTCAAAATTTAGCAACCGCGCTCACTGGCAGTTACAATACAAACACACCGACAACGAAGCTGCATCTACATGTGCCGTGCAATGGCAAATGTCGATGACAGGCTGCTTGTCTCCACGACCTGTCATTCCGTAGTTTTCGCTGACAAACGTGCGCGATCTGGCATTGCGCATGCCACAACGTGTCATACAGGTCAGAAGCACCATATGCCGAAAGCGCCGAATCCGTCCTGCCTCGATGTGCAGCCAACAAGCAAAACTTCAAGAGCACGCACGCTTTTTGAATTTGGCAATGGTGCCTGGCTGCATCTTTGGTCTCCTCTTCTCAAGAGCCTTTGCGAGCTCCCGGGCATCCGCGAGGGGAATAAAGTCATCCTTAGAAGACTACGGCAAGGCCACGGCCCTAACTCGTCACCGTCGAGATCCGTCGAGTCGAGGAGCCAAAACTAGGAAGTCCTCGTTTTCCAACGCCTTTGGACCGGCGGGACAGCTAAAAGCCCAGGCAACAAGCCAGCAGGACACAGCGAAGACGAACACCTTGATCCAGACACGCCCGGCTTCGGGAGTAGCCCACCAAGCCTGAAATGGACCAAACTCGCAAGAGTTCGACACTCTTTCCCCTGCACTGAGTTCGGAGCCCCCTCCTTGCTTGCAAAGCTTTTGCGGACCCGGCTCAAGGGCTCAAAGATGGTGTCCTGCAAGCGCACATCCCCCGGTAGTCCTCAATATCTTAGCTGTCAGACAGACACAGGCAACTAAGGCAAACACTGCCAAGCGCTTGCGGGTCTTGGCACTCGGAGGTCGCACCGCTTGCCTCAGCAACTACCAGCTCCTTTATGCCTGGTGCAGTTCGTCGAACAGGAGCAGCTATTGTTCTCCGTTCCGACCTTTCCAGTGAAAGTGTGGCCCAATCACGAAATGCCAAGCTGCCAATAATCTATTTCGTACCTCAGAAAAACATCAGGCCCATGTATTCATGGACCTGCATCCACGAATGTGCGATCACATCCGGCGAGTGGCTGCAACATCCACTGTTCGCGCTCCCCATTCTTCAGGACCTCCCCGCTCGGCAGGATCAGGAAAAGGGAGCCTGCCTCGCGGCTGCAAGCAGATGAGCACCAATGTAAAGACCCTAAAGCACGTATCGGTCGGGTCTACAGAAAGCCAGAAAGGCCTCTCAAAGCACATGCTTTTGTAGCGGGGCTCGCAAAGTCCAAGAAGCTGTAAACAAGGCTTGGCTTGCAGTTGCCATGAATCATCGAAAGAATTCACGAAGGCCGCTGCGCTTCAGTGGGTCAGGGGGGCAGCAAGCAATGGCCTATCTGGCTAAGTATACTTTTGCCCTTGTAAATTGTGCCGTTGTGGATAGTGGACATACAGAACGCAGACATACACACACACACACACACACACACACGCAATGATTCCGGCGTGGCGGCTGTGGCTCTTACAGTAGTGCTTTGCTTTTCCTCAGTTCTTCTCAATTCTTCGGTTGAATTTTGCACATGGGCCTCGAGGGTTTCACATGACTGGACATGACTGCACAGAATTGATACATGACTGAACAAGTCTGAGCATGACTGAACATGTCTGCACATGACTGCACAAGACTGAACACCGCGAAGTATTGAGTCCACCAGCTTTCCACAATGGGATTCAAGTGCGACTCTGAAATTGCAGGTTCAAAGGTCTGTGAACCCATCCAGTCAACCTCCACAGCTTCGTT